AACTATACCTAAGCCTTCCCTTACCCTTAATTCTTTTTTTAATATCCTAAGATTCAGTTCACCCAATGTTAGACATTTAAGCTCATTCAAAATTATCATACTGTTTGAATTTTGGTCCTGCCTCTTCATCCTGTTCTAGCAGAAAACATAATAGGTGTGGTTTTTTTTTTGTCAGAGCAGACTGAATCAAAATTTGAGTTGTGTAGTACTGTCTTTTCTTGGTTATTTGTTAGCTTTGTACCATCTTCCCTAAGCATCTGATATATTGATTTGCTTTTCCCATTTTAGTATTGCCTTGCACAGGAATAGCTATCCTTTGCAAGTTGCTCCTGTCATCAAATCCCACTTACTGGTATCTCTGTCCTGAGTTTATTAAATCTTTTTTTTCTAATTTAAGAAATGTATTCGATTACATTTAGAATTTTTTTCCTTAAAATCAAGAACTCTAGTGCTACACGTTTCTAGTTTTTTGTTATTTCCATTTCTTAAACTCAATCTCAATTAATATTAAGTCAAGGACAGCTGATCTTCTTGAGTCTTCTTCTGGTCTTTAAAACAGGACGTTGTCATCAAGACAAGAACCATGCTCGCCAGAATTTGTTTCCCAACAGATGTCCAGGTAATTAAAGAGTCCCATTACGACAATATCATGCTTCTTTGAAATATCTGCTATTTTGTTTTTGGAAAGCATTATCCATATCTTCTCCTTGGACCACAATAGAAACCAACAAACATTATTTTTGTTTATTCTTCCATTTATCTGAGCCCAGATGTTGTTTAAAACATTGCCACATTCATTTATTTTAACATAAATGATTATATGCAACGTGCAGTCCTCAATTTACAGCAATTCCATTTAGCAACAGTTTGAAGTTACAATGGCACTGAAAAAAGTGACTTAAACCATTTAGGACAGTGACAGCATCCCCATGATGATAAGATCAAAATTTGGGCACGTGGCAACCAGCATGTATTTATGCAATCGCCATTTACAATCTTCCCAGCTGGCTTCTGACTAACAAAGTCAATGGGGGAAGTTGGAGGAGCTATACAACTGCATAATTCACTTAACTGCAGTGATTCATTTAACAACTGTGGCAAAAAAAAAACCTTTTGTAAAATTGGGTGCAACTCACTTAATAATGACCTAGCTTAGCAATGAAAATTCTGGTCCAAATTATGATCATAAATCAAGGACTACCTTTGTAATTCTTCCTTTCTATTGCTTCTGTTGTTGTTTTTAACAAGTTCAATCCTAAGGTGCAAAGCTATTAAACCTACTAAATTATTTTTGTCTCAAAAACAAGTTAATCTAAGCATTAGTATACAGACAATGAGGGCTGCGAATTTCATGAGCTAATATTCATGGATTTTCATTTTGCAACAATTTAACAACACTCCTGCCTTCTTGGGAGCTCAAATGCTTATATGAGATCCTCATTTCAGAGTTTTCATTTCTACTCCACTCATTATATTCAGTTTAAAGCCTTTCTAATCAAACACACCATGCTTTAGCCAAGTACATTTTTAGAAGACCATGTAAGGTAGAAATTATCTCATCCATCAACCCATGATCTAGATAACTCAGACCATGATCTCAAAAACCAAATCTTTCCCAGGGATACCATTTGCATAAATAGCCATTCCCTTTTGAATTTTGTTCTATCAAAGAATACCACATGAGCTAAATTTCTGATTTTCAAAGGATTCCAAGTCCAACACATTACAACTGTTCTCTGTAGACCATTGGCCCATTTAGAAGGAAAAGATAACTGTCTTGGTAATCTTGGAAGCATTTCTGTATCCCTGATTTTTCTCTTATGACAACAGAACCACTCAGCATGTTTGCTTCCATTTATCATATTGAATTACAAACTATCATGCCCTCCACTATTCTGTGGTATCTATTTTTATTTCCCTAAAGGCTCAGAATCTGGTTGAGAAAGATTTCTGAGTTATAGCGGGCAAAGTATCCTTTATATCTCTTGCTTCTAGTTGTTATTCTCATCTACCGTCCTTGTTTCTCTGCTTGAATATTTTTCCTAGGAGCCTTGTGTCTAATATCTGTTTCTATTCTAGACTCCCCATCCTTTTTCAGTAGCTAAAGCATGGCCATTAAATTCTCCAAACCTTTGACCTGTCCCTTAAGGGCTGGGATGAGTCTGCATGTTGCATGGGCTGCAATTATATATTAGGAGGAAAAATAGCAGTCTCCTGTCCATTCATTTTCATTCTTGCTTCCCGAGGCACCATCCAGAGAAAGGCCTTTATTTATTCTTGTCTCTTTCTCCAGCAAGCTCCTATTAGCTCTTTCTCATGAAGAGCTGTAAGTGCTTTCATTCAATGGGCTTTCTCCTGGAACCAGGCTGTCTTATATTTCTCTTACATTCTCTGTTTACACAGCAGGAAGCAATCACCTAATCTTCTACAACGGGTAATCAACAGCTATTCAGAAGATGACCTTTCTACTCCTCGTTGCTCATCATAAATCCCTCAGAATCTACAGCTTCTTTGATCACTCTCCTTTCTTCTTTCCATTGAATTCTCTGGCAAACTCCTGCTATATCTCCCTCTTCTCTCCCTTAAACCAATACTCATTTTATACCTAAACTTGCATTCAGTTTGGTTATCACACTTATTTATATCTACTTGTAATGATATGCAATTTCATACAGTAATTATAATTGCAATATTGAGCATAGTTTTGTGCTATTTATTTCAACTCTTTACTGCAGAGCTGACATGAAAAGGTATAAGAAAAAACAGGAATATTAATAATCTTGATTATAGAATACTTGATAATTTGTAAGTTTTAGACATAGCAAAAGGCATATGCAAACAGTGATACTGTTAAGGATGAAGTTGATTGAGATAAGCAGTTAGCAAGGTACAGGATTTTTACCATGCAGAGCTTCACGGAAAAGCAGCAGAACTAAACAATATATAGCATGCTCAAAGAAAACTGCAAAACTTGGAAAATCAAGAATATTTAAGCTTTTCTCCCTGCACTGTAATCCCAGTGACTCTCTGAAATGTTCCAGTATATTATTTGTCTCACAAAGAATGATTTTCAAGTTCAGCATGCAGCAGCAGCCAAAAAACCAATGCAATCCTTGGTTGCATAAACAGGGATAGAATCAAGATCACATGAAGTATTAGTACCTTTTTATAAAATCTTACTAAGACTACACCTGGAATACTTTTATAACATTTTGGTCATGTTATAAAAAATATGTTGAGACTCTGGAAAGAGTGCAGAGAAGAACAACTAACCTGATTAAGGATGGTTGAAAGAATGGTTGCAAGAATTGGGTATGTCTAGTCTAGTGAAAACAAGGACTAGGCATGACATAATAGCATGATTCCAGTATTTGAGGGGCTGCCACAAAGAAGGGTCAACCTGTTTTCCAAAGAACCAGAAAGCAAGGCAAGAAACAATGAATGAAAACTAATCAAAGAGAGAAGCAACCTAGAAGTAAGGAGAAATTTTCTAACAGTGAAAACAATTAATCAGTAGAACGGTTTGCCTTCAGAAGCTGTGGCTGCTCCATCACTGGATGCTTTTAAGTAGATAGCCACTTATATGGAATAGTATAGGTTCTCCTCCTTGAGTAGGGGGTTGAACTAGAAGACCTCCAAGACGTCTTAGTAAGATTTTATAAAGCGGCACTTCTAACTCTGTTATTCTGTTATTCAGTTTCCCATCCATAACAGGGCAGAGCAAATAATGCATTTGTGTATACAGCAATATACAGCAATGTGCTTATTTTCCAAAGAGAACGTGTTAATGGGAAACTTAGGAACTTTGTGGTTACTTTGCCCAAACTACTGGCTTTAAGCAGAAGCAGTATGCTCCGTCCCATACTTGGGGTAGACCAGGTTGCCTTGATAGACCGGTCTCTCTGGAAAATACTTAATCTCCCCCCTGGTATAACTAACAAAGCAAGGAGAGGTTAATACATCTGCGTAACATGCAAGTGGCCCAGATTCAAATCTCAGAAGGGTATGAGAGTTAAATAGCTCAAAATAGCTATACTAGTCTCCCTTTAATTCTTTGTCGGTAAATTTAAATTTAACACACAAATAGTCTGTTACAGAAGCAACTGCCTGCAAAGGCTCCTAGATTGGGGCTGAAAGGTGAAAGCGGAAGCAGTATGCTTCGTCCCATATTTGGGGTAGACCAGGCTGCCCTGATAGACCGGTCTCACTGGAAAACACTTTACTGGCTTTAATTTGCCCTTCGCCTTACTATCTCTTCTCCCATCTGCTTCTCTGATCTTCAAACTGAAGCCTATCCTTCAGTTTCGTTTTCAGGGCTCACTGACTTTCTTCCCATCTGTCAGTTATAAAGATGACATTCCATCCAATGTATCAGACCCCTTTGACTTGGAGCTATGTTCGTAGTGTGGAAAACATTTTCAACAATAATGTTCTGAAATACTGGAAGACTTCCTTAGGAACACTGCTATTGCCAGATAAACTTTATAAATATGTTACGAAGTCGATCTTTTATTGCCGAAGTCTCAATTGCATAATCACTCTTATTAGTATGTGTCCTCAAATTAATATTGATTCCCTGCAGGTGATTGCCTGGAAAAGTCATTTTTCTTGTCAAGATGTTCAGCGGTGCTTTGTCATTGACATTTTCCTAGGGTTGAGAGAGAATGACTGGCCAAACTAGATGAGAAATCATTCTCCTGATTTCTAGTCTGATGTCTTAACCACTACACTACACAGCTCTCTCTGTGTGTGCTGTGGTTGTAATCCTGAAGCTTTCACCAGCTATTTTTTTAAAAAATAATCATGCTAAATATTATGCACCATAATATGCTTTAAGGTTGTAAATTTCTTATGATTTCCCTTTGCCCACTAAAGAAACTCCAAATAATTAAAAATGATGAGTTTATAGCAACTATAGTCATGCACATGTGTCTGAAATAACCACAGAATGAGATGTTTCACAATGCTCAGCATGCATGCAAAGTGAATCTAATACTCACTGGCTGGCCTTCGTTGAGTCACTATCTCTGAGCCTCAGTTCCCATCTGTAAAAGTAAGAATAATATTCTACCTCGTGGGAGTAATAACATGAATGCAATTATTATATTAAAGCAATGTGCAAGACATGCTACAGACCACAGGTTATAAAATAATGTTCTAGTATTGACTGAACAATTGCAAAATATAAGTGATTATGATCTTCTCAACCTATTACATTTTTTCAGCCATAGAAATTCATAATTATTCTGAACTGATTTTATATAAAGTATCAGTTGATTTGAAAGATAACCCCTTTATTTACCCTTTCATTTCCCCTCCCCATCTATTTCAAAGCTGTTTGATGTCTCCTGTTTTTTAGCATTAATTTTCATATATTTTGCTGATTAGTCAGAGAGAAAAATGTCCTGTAGAGCCAAGATAACCATCGCCAATTACTGGACTTTGAAACATATCTAAATCTGATTTTAGTTCTAAATCATTTTCCATTTTTTTCCCCTGTTGGGATTTCAAGTCATGGCCTCCATCATACTAATCCATAGTTCAGTGGAGCTACCTGAAATGTTTCCAGAAGAAATCAAGTTAATTTTCACCAAGAATAACAATTTACTTTGATATTATTTCTACTTTAAAGAAGAGTATGTGAGAAATTGCCATTGCAAATATATTAAAGACAAAATACCAAAATACCTTATCAATCTATAAAAACAGAAATGCATATGGTAACTGAACTGATTGATATTCAATACTCATCAGCATAAGAGCAACTACAGTTACTATTCTGATCCATAAACCTAATTAATTACAGACAGAAATGCAAAATGAAAAACAACCTAAAAGAGGAAAAGGATGTAAAACTTAGAAGAAAAAGGAGGCATTATGCTTTCTGCTGGAATGTGAGTGGCTACAAAGTCCAAGCCTATATTACCAAATTGTCAACTGGGAAACCTTGATATGGGACCTGAACATTTTCATAAAATGTTCTGGTTTTCTCAAGTTACAGTCAGTCAATTAGGGAGTGTTATAAATCCAGTAAACAAAGGCCAGTGATAAATACTGTCTAAATTTTAAAAAACAACAGAACTTCTGCCAGGAGCTAAACTTCATGGAGAAAAGCCGTATTTTTTTAATCAAAATTAAGCAGGGATTGAGATTTCCCAGAAGGCATCCCAGAAAAGTTTAAACCCAACATAGTTATTTAAATACCAGTGTGCATTCAGAATACAGAAATTTCTCTGACTATTCCCTCATTAGCATCCCAAAGAATGTTCACATCAGCCAGTTACTGCAGAAATGATAAAAATATGTGCTGATTATCATTATTTTGCCACAATGACATTGGACTATTCTAGACCAGTGTTTCCCAACCTTTAAGATGTATGAACTTCAATACTCAGCATGCTGGCTGAATAATTTCAGGAATTAAACAGAAGTTGGCCTTTTGGGGGGGGGGACTTAATTTCCAGATGACTCTACCCAGCTGACTGAGAATCTTTATTGACATAAAGAAGCTGAAGTTCACATCTTAAAATTGCTGCTCTAGATAATACTGTAAGTTGCAAACTAGGTAAATCACATCTGAGTACAATGAATCATTGTACTGCTGTCTACCATGAAACTGTTGTCAAGTAGCCTTTGCATACCAGATGCCTTCTTCTACCTCCTTCATAGAGAAAGTAGCATTCTACCAGGCATGGCAGATCTACAATTCAACTACTCAATGATCAAACCAGAACCAGAAAGAGAGTAGTGTGATATCACTTCATCAAGATTATAAGGCCTTACTACACTCCTCTTCTTTATCAGAGGATATACCTTCAGTTCGGTGCATGACAACACACCTTCTTGTACACACCAATGAATTTGTTACTAGCCTTTAAACCTGTACATCTATCCCTCTCAGTCTGTGATAGTTAACATGTTTGAAGATGCCTACCATGCTTTTATATCAATACAGGAAAAACTGCCTAGAAGGTAATTTCTCCCACCTTCTGGTGAGCCTGCAGCAAATTTAATATTTACAAAGTTTTAAAAAGCAGATCAAGGGTGGGCATCACTGAGATCCACAGTGAGAGAAGAGAAGCACAATCGCCTAGCTAAATATGCAATGATAATTTTTTACTTTGTATCCCAAGGGGATATTATTTGTTTTTTAAAAAGGGAAATGAGCATACTTGTCTGACAATGCTGTCTCTCTAAATTAGCTGATATACTTCCTGCTGTATACACATATCAAACTTCTTCTGATTTTCAGAGAATCTGGCAACACAGAGAAAGACCGTAAAGGAAGCCTAGAGGAAAAATTATGTTGGCTTCTTGCTAGTGAAAAATGGAAGGGGAAAATGCAGCCACTCAGACCAAGAGCAATTAAGGAATTATGGGACAAGAATTCCCTTATTATTCTAATGTTGCTGATCCCAAGTGGAAGTCCTGGAAGGCCACAGGATTTCCACTCCAACATTGATTTTGATTGCCTGAAATCCCTTCATACTTACATTTCTGAACCCTACATTTATATAATGTTTTTAATGCCAACCATGATTTATACCATGGTGTATTTAATAAAAATACACCACATTTTAATACTAACCATAACACATGATCAGAAAAACTTCATATTTCTAGCAGACCTGACTTTTCCATTCAAAACAAAATTCCATCAGACTTCATCCACAATTTTTGAAGTCTTCTTTAGATTGTATCTCATGCAATATTCCTGTTTTGTCAAAGTAGCCTTTGTGATTACTAGTTATTTTAACAGATTCATGTTGCAGACAATTCAATAATTAAGTTGAATCACAGTACCTGTTAATTAGAATCCTTAAAAGTCAATTTTGGTAATAATACCTATTTAGAGAACTAAAAAATTATGCATTGTAAGACTAGCTGACAAAAAATAGTCAAATCTGTGATTCAGCTAACTTATTCTGATGTGAAGTAGCTTCCAGTCGTTTTATAGGAGAAATATTTCTGGTTTTGCTCCTAATCATTTTATCTTAAGATGTTGCATCCCCACTCTGTGAATACGGAACATTTTCTATTCTTTATTCACAGAATATTTATATAAGATTATCCAATATACAAAAATGGGAAAAATGAAAAGCAAGAAAAAAACAGTTACTAAACAATATGGCAAGCCTCCATATTGTATATATTGCACACCCATCAAAACATAAACAATAGCTACAAGTTTCTAAATAAAACAAAGCAATACTCTATTGTTGTAAAAGATCATGTAATCTCTCTCAGTGGGAAACCTATTGCATAATTTTTAAATTTCTCCAGGATTATTTTCCACACACAACATCTATCTGCAACTTTTATTAATGCTTTACGTTGCTAAGAAGCAGGAGATATGTTCACTCATTAGGATACTGTTATTTCTATACTTTCCATTCAGTTACTAACCATCTGCTAATATACTGCTTTTAACCAATGTTCTACAAAAATAAACATTAAATATTTTTCTACATGCCTGGCAACTTTTTAATTATACCTAGGCATTTCCTATGAATAGGAAATTTCCAAATTTGGCCTTAATTTTTATGGTAGTTGGGAACTGCTACAAGGAGAAGGCTATTTAAATGCTAAGTGAAAAGATGTTTACACTAGGTTGAAAGCATGGATAAATTCATTGAAACCCAACAAGAAAATGCTTTAGGATAAGGAAGCCAATCTATCTTATTAAGTACAGAACAATAAGTCTCCATTTTCTGTTGGCACTTCTGTCAATATGTATGTCTGGAACTACCAATCTGCTCATTTTAGGAGAGAACCTTTTACTCATCAAGGCTCACAGAAAGAAAGGTAGTACATATCTTAAAATGACATTTTATTGAAAAGCTGTTCAGCTAACTCAATGTAAGCATTGCTATCTTCTTTTGAAATTTTCAAAAAGTTCTGGCCATAAATAACTTGTGTTCCGCACCAGGAATATTGCTATATTTATTATTAGAATAAGAAGACTTATAAGAAGACTGTCTAGCAGCATCGGTATAAGAAGCATAAGATTAGTTATTCCTTTCCATGAATATTTATATTCTAATTGTCTAAGTTTCACGATAGTTTTAAAAATGCTTAGGCACATAAATTTATGGAAGCAGATAAACAGAATTTGCTGAATATACCAGCGATAATTATTTCTTTCCTATGAAACATTGAGTGCTGCATAAGCAGATTTTTAAGAATCAATGTCATTTTTCACTTAAAGCTCAAGATGAACAGACTAGAGGCACATTATGCCCTTTCCCTTAAAGGAGGTATACAATCATTGCCATATTTCTGGGTTCCTCTGCACATGTGACAATTTTTGAATGGCATGCACTGACAATGCAACTTCATTCTCACAATCAATCTTTGAGTTGGTTATATTGAAAAATAATAATTTGTCCAAGTTCAACGAGCAAATCTTATACCTGAGTGGTGATTTGAACTCAGATTTACCATTGCCAAGTCCAAAGCTTTAACTACTATACAGCAGTTATTAATACAGGTTGTTTGTGTCCCTGCTATATCAAGAAATTCCACTTTACTGATAACCTTAAATAATTTTACCATAATATTTCAACTATTAATTTCTGAGATTTCAAAGATTTCCTACAAGATGCTTGTTCCAAGAGATCATTGAGTAAACCCGCATCCTATCCCAAATATCTAGCCAAAGACATTTAATCATATTTCTACAAAGTTTCCTATTATTTTACAATCAGAGATCAGTAATAGATTTAATAGATTTTGTCTGGTTATAAGAAAAAGGGAAAGGGAAAAAGAAAGGATTGTTAGATTATATTTGATGTTAATCATTGCCTTATTGTAAACACTGCAACAATAAATTGTTATTGTTTAGGACTGTTTTCTACTATTATGTTCTTCCTAGTCTCTATTCTTTAAAGCGATAATAAGAACAATGATTCAAGGATAAAATTTATTTTGTCCTTATAACCTAACCAAAGTAACTGATTCTCCTTGTGAGAATCAATCAATCATATCTATCGATCAATTTTTTTTCAGAATAAATCTAAAAGTTTTAATATAATAGAAAATGTGA